CGCCCAGCCGCAGCGCCGCCACCGCCACCGCCACCGCCACCGCCAGCAGCACCACCGGAAATTGACAATTTGCCTCTTTGGATTTCCCATTTAATGCGGTTTGCTTCTTCCAATTCCTATTTCTGCTCCAGAACTCAAGACCCAGCCGTGTCTGCGGCACGAAGACCCCCCGGGCCGTCGCTCCTGCTGCTCCTCCTGCTCCTGCTGCTCCTGCTGCTCCTCCTGCTCCTGCTGCTCCTGCTCAGGGCGCCCCGCGGGTGCGCTCCAGTCGGCTTTAAACTGCCAAAACAATTTAAAATCGTAAAGTTTAATGGTCATTTCGACTAGATTCACAAGTGGGAATCCTTAGAAACTAATAAAACCCAAAAGAGCCCCCAACGGCCCTGAGGAGCACAGGGCGGCGCGCGTACTCCTCGAATTTCATCGTCTGATCGTCTAATTAATTAATTGTTCAATCGTTTAATTGTTTAAATCGTTTGTTTTCGATTTGTCCAAATAAATCGCGAGAAACTCCCGCGAGCAGCGCGCGCCTTTACAGACAGCTCTAGCCGAGCTGCGTGTACGCCGCAGCTCCGTGTACAGACAGACACCTCAGATGTCGAGGGTGTTTGGCGAAGGCCTGTCGTGGCGCTTGGCGTATTCTTCTCCTCCTTTTTGTTTCTTCTTAATAAATTCACTCAAAGGAAGCCAGGGTTTTGGCTTTCTATCCATTTTTTCGAAAAAGCGCCTTCGAATTTGCTGCTGCTCCGTCTCGTTGCTGCGCACGCTGGGCCTGCCCTGTCTGTACACCTCAAGTTCGTGCTCGTCAATCCGCGTCTGCAGCAGCTGCTGCCGCCGCTGCTGCTTGCTGTACTCCTCGTGCTGCTGCAGCAGCAGCAAGTTGCGCAGCAGCAAATGCACCTCCGTCACCTGCCGCGCTGCAGCAGCTAGCTGGCTAGCTAGCTGTGGGGTGGGGTACACGCGGTGTATGTACATCTCCCGCAACACTTCTATTGTTCTTTCTCTCGACTGAGACAGCAGAGACACTTCGAGAGACAGCCGCAGCAGCGAGGGACTCTCCGTCAAACAACGCTCCCTCCTGCTGCTGCTGCTGTTGCTGTTGCTGCTGTTGCTGAGGCTGCTTTCCTTCTTGAGAAAGTCCCACAGGGCAAAGTACCTTCCCGGGTCTTTTAAGTCCAAGCCAAACATCCTGAAGTACAAACCCCACCACTAAACCCTAAACCCTCGCAAACCCTCGTGATGAACCCTAGTGCTCAACCCTTACACACGCTGTCATAAATCCTGGCACGCGCCAGCAAACACTCGCAAACCCTGAAAAAGGGTTTCGGGCTCCACCGCACCCTATATTTAACCCCGCGCAACATTTTTACGGAGGAACCCCCTCAAACCCTAAAACAGGGTTTTGGACTCCGCTGGCCACTGAAACCCCCGACGAAGCCCGTGCCCGCGCCCCACTAAACCCTAAACCCTGCCCAAACCCTAAACCCTTCCCAGACCCCAAACCCTAGACCCTTCCCAAACCCCAAACCCCAGACCCTCCCGAAACCCCAAACCCTAAACCCTACCCAAACCCCAAACCCCGGACCCTCCCCAAACCCCAAACCCTGGACCCTCCCCAAACCCTAGACCCTAAACCCTAAACCCTAAACCCTGCCTGAGGAGAATGGCGTAGGTTTGTTGGTTGGGTTTGAGTCCGAAGTCCTGGAAGTGGCGGAGCATGTCGACGGCGAAGTGGGGAAACTTGGAGTGTCTGTACACCTGAATGATCGCGTTCAAAGTGGAAGTGTGGGGTCTAAACCCTTGCATGCGCATGCACTGCAGCAAGTGCCAGCAGCAGCGAACGTTGCTGCTTCTTTCTTGCTGCGAGGCCCCCGGCAGCAGACTTGCTGCAGCAAACAGCAGCAGCAAACTACGGTAGCTGCTGCTGCACAGACCCACTCCTGCTGCTCCCATTTGCTGCACCACTTTCCGCGCCCCAGCCACGTCCCCCGCCCGCGCGCACGCCTGCCCGCAAACCCAAACCCCAAACCCCAAACCCTAAACCCCAAACCCTAAACCCTAAACCCTAAACCCTA